CCCATTGAACCACCTCCTCCCCAATCACTCTGACCGGCCACCGCACCCAACCCAAAGCCCCAACTCCAGTCCACCACACCCTAACACCACCACACCCCGCCCCAGCCCAGCACAATCGCCTCCCACCACTGCAACTGAACCACCTCCACCCCCGCTACAACCACTCTAGTCAGTCACCGCACCCCAGCCCAAGTCCCACCACACCCCAACCCTACACAATCGCTGCACAAGACCCTACCCCCACCTCCCGCCCCTGCCAATGAACCACCTCCGCCCCCGCCACGACCACTCCGGTCGGCCACCACACCCCAACCCCACCACACCCCCCGCGCAGCCCAAAACTCTGCAACTCGTCTCCCTCCCCTTCCATTGAACAACCTCTCCCCCCTTTGCCTAGGCAAAACCTAGCCACACCATCGCCTCCGTCGACCAGAACTGAAAACCAAGCACCTACACCCTAGCCGCCGGTAACTTCACCACAGATCTGGAAACTCTAGTCTTTCTACCATGTTGATGCCAGTCCATCTTTGTCATTGTTTCATAAATCGGACAGGGATTAAAGAAGGAGAAGAAGAAGAGAACCGGAGCAACGAAGGCGGTGAAGTAGAATGACGGCGGAGACCTGGGGCGATGGCGGTGCGATGCCGATAGAGGCGGCCGCCAGAAGGTTGAGCCGAGGACCTGGGCGATGGAGGTGCGATAGTTGTGAGAGGGAAGATGTCGAGAGAGAAGGTTTTGTTGTGTGGCAGATGGTGGAGGCCGGATGTCGCGAGCAGATGGAGATTGGCGATGGAAGAAAGGGGAAGTGGGTTGGAAGAAAAGGGTCATATTTTTGGCAAAATGTAAAAGGGTCATGTTTTAGGAAATCAAAACACGGGCAGTGATACCCCTGCCATTTTTTCTAAATGATATCCATTCTTACAATTTAACATCAACTTTTAGTTCCTTATTTCAAAATTTTGTAATATAGGAACGGGTGGTTGTTGGATTAGATTAAATCTTTTAGATTTGATTGGTCTAGTCTTCTTTAATATGGTTTGATTTATTTTCATGCAATGTTTACTTTATTATAATTGTGTGACAATTTTTTTAAAGGTTTTATGCTTTAATTTTCTCCAATCTCTTTCCACATATGAAGTGGTTGAAGCTGTGTTGACTATTTTCACGTAGGGAGTTTTAGCTGCCGCTTCATGTGGCTTTGTTGATTTTATGTCTTTTTTTGCTATTAGATCCATTTCTCAAATACCTTAGTTTTGACACCTATGACTATCATACAAAAAATAACCTATTTCAAAAACCGGAATGAATAGTTTTACATTGTTTTCAATTCTCATATTAGTATGAAATGATAAATTTTAAACGTTCCTAGTAGATTTACGCAAGACTATATTTTCTCTCTCTAAATGAAGTTCTTTCGAGGTTAGAAATGATCTAAAATGAATATAGTGCATATTACAAAAATGAAAAACAAAAAAATATATTTTGTAGGAAGTAAAAAAAAAATGTCATATTTACAAGAACCCAAAATGTATTAAAGTCTTAAATAAATCTGAATCATATCATTATGCAAATTAAATATATACTCCCTCCGTTTCTAAAAGAAACTCACACTTTCCTTTTTGAGATGTTTCAGAAACAAAATCACACTTCCCTTATGTCCTTATTTGGCAAAGAAATCTACATCCAAACAGTGCGAAACAGTGCGAAACAGTGCCAAACAGTGTCTAAACAGTGTTTTCTACAGTAAAGTCAATTTATTTCTTTAATAATCGTGAAGTCAAACCGTGACTTTCTTTTGGCAACGGAGGGAGTAGTATAGTAGAATGAGTATTTAGATTAATCGAGTTTAGTAATACCTACTTATAAATGTTCTTCTTTTTTACAATAGTTAACTTGTATTCATTCCCATTTGCAAACAAATCTTAAAACTCCTAAACTGTTAAATATAATAAATAGAGGAAAACACTGTGAAATTTTGGGTTACTACTTTTTCAAATAAATTATGGACCGAGGTGGCTCAAGCCCAAATTGCTCCTAAGAAGGCACCACCTTGAGTAGGGATGGACCACTTCTATTCGGGTTCTTGGACGATTCGGTCTTCAGTAGTTATTAGGCGAAACAATTACCGTGACTGAGTAGGACTGCTATCCGCTCGGTTTTGATCTACCCGTGTGATTCCGAGGTCGTTCCCATTCGATTGCAGGTTGTTTTAGAGTCAGTTACTGTAGATGATTGTTTTAACTGTTTTTCATATGATTTTTATTTATTTTATTAATAAAATATATTTTAAATGTATAACTTTTTCAAAAATCAGCAAAATCAGTTAATCCAACCACAAGCTCATAAATTTTAGCAGAATCAGCCATTACAGCCAATTTGGATATTACCAAACGAGCTCTTAAACATATTATTATAAGAACCCGTTTGGTACTCTATTTTACAGCTTATCAGACTTATTAGCTAACTTTTTAACCAAACACGTAACTTTTGATTTTGCGCAATGAATTATGTAATACTCCGTAAGAAAAAGTAAGGTGATAGTTAGTTTTCTGTCTATATTAGCCACTTTAGCTATTTTTCATATAATTTTTTTCTTTATTTTATTAATAAAATAAATTTTAAATATAATTTTTTATAGATAAGCAGAATCATCCAATACAGTCACTTCAATCAGAACTTCATAAATTTCAACAGAATCAGCCGATTGAGTCAATTTCATTATTACCAAACGGACTCTAATGACGCCTATAATGTAAATTGTCCAAAACCTTTACGCTAATGAGATTGGGGGTTTGGAATGTAAAGCTCCAATCGGATGGGTGGGATTGCTTTGAATCCGAATTCCTTGGTTGGTATGACTGATGGATTTTTCTTACCTCTAATTTAACCTTTAACCTGTACTCGCTTATTACAACACTTGATTTGGCATAATTCTCGGTAATGATTAACTTATTGATCTCAAAACCAGGGCACCCCCGATTATTACAGTTTACCGCAATTATTATACTCCGTAAGTAAAAAAGTAAATGCAATTATTGTGGTACTAATTATTATCACTCCCTCATACGAAAAACCTATCCGGCTTGCTAATTTAAGTGCCCACGATATTAAAAAATGGCTAGTGACATATTCATCTAAAATTTATGAAATTTCGACTTAGGTGAGTGGATCGAGTGATAGTTATGAAAAATTATACTCCCTTCGTCCCATAATTAACTTCGGTTTTGACTGGGCACGGAGATTAAAATAGTGAGATTTGTGTGGTGGAGAATTGTGCAGAGGAGAGAGAAATGTGTAAGAATGATTGTGAACCACATATTCTGTATCAAAAAAAGAAAGAAGAGATAAATTTGGGACGGACCGAAAAAGAAAGAATGAAGATAATTTCGGGACGGAGGTAGTATTTAAAATATATTTTACTTATAAAATAAAAAAGATTATATGAAAAATAGCAAAATTGTCATATACTGTAACTTCAATCAGAAAATTAACTTCAACATTAATTATTTTTATTATTATACAATTTCATCAGTAAATATATGGGTCAGAGCTCCACTTCTTATTTATTAGCTTGTGATTAATATCCACATTCTTTTAGTTAGCCGTTCGACTAGTACTTAGATCTCTCAGGAAAGAAGTGTCATCTTTTTTTATCATTATGCAATTCATGATATTTTTATTTGGACTGTAATTTGCTGGTCTGGTTAAGTCTGGTTTGCTCTGGTCTATTTAAGTCTAGTCTGGTATGTTCTGGTCTGAATTGGTCTAGTAAAGGTCTGATATCTGTGTGATGGAGTATATGGCCCGGGAATCCCCGGCCCACAGACTCCTACTACTCCAATAAAGGCCCAACAGGCCCAGGAAGCATAACAGGCCCAAATCGCAGCGCCCAGAGTACCAAGCGGCCCACAATATGCACCAGGGGTGCCTTCGGCCCCCTTGCTGAAGGCTCTAAATCCATCATGAGGGCCAAGAGAGGAAAGCAAAGTTACTCTGAAAAACGGCGAAAATCAGTAGCCCTCGGCAACTGGAGCCCTCGGCACTAAGGGGGTCCCCGGTACTCAGAGCCCTCGACTAGTCATCTACTGCCGAGGGCACCTTTTCCGACATAATATCCGCTCCACATGCGTATGGATCACCGTACCCTGTACAACGTCCCATCCAACAGCCGCATTAAATGCAGCCACATGCGGTTGCCAGCGCCAACCAGTTGAGGTGACCCCTCGGCCAATGAACGCTTTACACGTGTCCCTGTCCGGCATTTATTGCTACTATAAATAGCACCCCATTTCCCCATTTGTAACCAAGTCACAACACACGCTGAAAACACTGAACCCTTTATAATATACTTTCTCTCGCTATACTTACTTGCTCTGACTTCTCTTTAGTTATTCTCCGTAATAACCCATCGGATAAGCCACCCCCCGGGTACACTATCCATCACTGTGTATTTTTTAACTACAGAAATCAAGTCTGATCTGGTCTGAGACTAAAAACGGTCTAAGTAAAAACATTCTTAGTACATAAAATGAAAAATTTCATATTAACCGAAAAGTTGACGAATAAGACACCCTATAAAAACCAAAAAGAGTTTTTTCCATTTTTGGATCCCTGACTATTTTGTTAGTGACACTTTTGTTACTCGATTTCTAATTTTTCTATTTTCGATCCTCGACTATTTTGATAGAGACACTTTTAGTTTCTGACTTCAAGATTTTTCGTATTTAGTCTCCCGAATATTATCAAATTGACAATTTTAGTTTTCACATTATAACTTTGACACAATAAGTGAAGGGATTAAAAATGTTCCTATTATAATAGTTGAAGAACCAAAATCATCAATTTTATGAAAGTTGCATAATTAAATATGGAAATTTCCTAAAAAAAGTACCAAAAGTGGCTCTAGTGTAATAATCGAGGACTAAAAATAAAAAAAATCAAAATAATGTCAGCAGCTCAAACTAAAAATAAGAGTTCCCCTCTAAAAACAATATCCTTTTTTTTCTTTCTAGGAATGCGAAATAGGTAGGTAGATGAAGGGTAATATTGACTTTTTAAACAGAGCTTAGTGCTTTAAAAATCTCTTCTCACGGTCCTCCTCTCCCTGCGTTGCAGTTCTTCCCCTTTCTCTTCTTCGATTCTTCTTTGCACCCCCGCCATTTTCACCGACGAACCAGCAAGTCGTTATGGATCCAGTCTCGGAATGGGGAAATACGTCGCTCTCCGAAATGGACCCGGAGATCCACGATCTCATCGAGAAGGAGAAGCGCCGCCAGTGCCGGGGTATCGAGCTGATCGCCTCCGAGAACTTCACCTCCTTCGCCGTCATAGAGGCCCTCGGCAGCGCCCTCACTAACAAATACTCAGAGGGCATGCCCGGGAACCGCTACTACGGTGGAAACGAGTACATCGACCAAATCGAGAACCTTACCCGCAGCCGCGCTCTCCAGGCGTACCGCCTCGACCCCGCCAAGTGGGGCGTCAACGTGCAGCCTTACTCCGGCAGCCCGGCCAACTTTGCCGCTTACACGGCTGTCCTTAATCCTCATGATCGGATCATGGGGTTGGATTTGCCATCTGGTGGCCATTTGACCCATGGCTATTACACCGCTGGGGGGAAGAAGATCTCGGCCACCTCGATTTACTTCGAGAGCTTGCCGTACAAGGTTGATTCAAGCACCGGCTATATCGATTACGATAAATTGGAGGAGAAGGCATTGGATTTCAGGCCGAAATTGATCATATGCGGTGGCAGTGCCTACCCGAGAGATTGGGACTACAAGAGATTCAAAGAGGTAGCCGACAAATGTGGCGCGCTTTTGCTCTGCGATATGGCTCACATTAGTGGCCTTGTTGCTGCTCAGGTACCAAGCTTTCAACACATGCACGCGTAATTTTTCTGTTGATTTGATTTGCATGTTTATTCGAGTGGATTTGTATTTATAACCCTTCAATCGTAGATCTGCTGATCTGCATTTTATCTATGTTTTTGTTTTAAATTTCGGATGTGTGATTTTCATATAAATTGTTGATATCCTTTTTTGCATTACTACACCGTGATCCGGGGTCATTTACCTTCATTCCCCCCCTAATTATTCCAACAATTTTGTGTTTGGTAAAAGACTGTTTAATATCAGATCGGTGCAAAAGGTAAGGAATTATATTTTCTATGCAATGACTCATATTCATCACATTTCTATAGAAAGTTCAATATTTTGAGGTCTCCCACATTTATATGCGAACTACTCAAATTCTTTAAAGTCATTTCATTTTCATTTACCCGGGTGCCACAAAGGCTCCCACCTATGGTGGGGTAAGGGGGTCGTATGTACGCAGTCTTACCATGTACTAAAGCATAGATAGACTACTAAAGCACAGATAGACTGTTTCCGGATGACCCACATTGAAAACCGCGTCCAAAATTGCATGTACTGACTGCTGCTCCATAACAAAGAAGCGCAGACAGTTTAGTGAGCCATTTTGCTTTATTCCATCATAATCTCAAGCCAAAAAATAATGAATCTTTGGCTCTATTGCAAATGATGGAAAAAATTCTTTAAAGTATGGGAGAAAATTCAAAAAATATGTAGACATACCAAACATGTTAAAACATTTGGTGAATTGGAAAGTATAGAACATAGCCTTGAAAATACGAGTCACTACAATGAAAAATTGAACTATGAGTGTAGTGACTTACTAAAGTCTTTTTTTTTATAATACATCTATTTTGAAATGTAGTTTTACATTCAAAAAGTTTCCTGGTATTTATCGTATTGTCAACAAAAAAAAATCGAATTGTCCATCTATTACATTTAGTTTGTGTTTGACAATAGTGTTGTGTGTATACTTGAATCTTGAATAGTAGTCACTTCCTTTTATCTGCTCTGTAAAGACACATAAATATCATCGAAACTTGATGTTATCGTTGTGGGTGTGCAGGAAGCTGCTGATCCTTTTGAGTACTGTGACCTGGTCACTACCACAACCCATAAGAGCTTGAGAGGTCCAAGGGCAGGCATGATCTTTTACCGGAAGGGACCCAAGCCACCAAAGAAGGGACAACCAGAGGATGCAGTGTATGACTTTGAAGACAAGATCAACTTTGCTGTTTTCCCTTCACTGCAAGGCGGTCCCCACAACCACCAAATCGGTGCTTTGGCTGTTGCTCTCAAACAGGCAATGTGCCCTGGCTTTAAGGCTTATGCTAAGCAAGTCAGAGCTAATGCGGTCGCGATTGGAAACTACTTGATGAGCAAAGGATACAAGCTAGTCACTGGTGGTACTGAGAACCACCTTGTTCTATGGGACCTTCGTCCTCTCGGTTTAACTGGTAATAGATTTTTCTGATCAATCTCTTCGTGCTTTGGGCACTTTTGGAATGATCAATCAAATAATTCTCATTCATTTGTTCTTGTTTCTTTTTAGGTAACAAGGTCGAAAAACTGTGTGACTTGTGCAACATTACCGTTAACAAGAATGCTGTTTTTGGAGACAGTAGTGCTCTTGCCCCCGGAGGAGTTCGTGTTGGTAAGATTAAGACTTCATCCAGATAGAGTGAACTATTTAAACTTGTGCTTTTAAAGTTGAGAGAATTCTCTAAACATGAGTAAAAAAGTTTTGAAATTCTAAAATAGGACTATCATGTTATTTATTCCTTGAATAAGAGTAAATTTCTGCCAAGTTTGACATTACTAGGCTTTAAAACATGGCATTTTTTTCGACAGATTAATCCTATTCAGGGAATAAAAAACATGATACTCCTATTTTTGAAAATCAAAACGTTTTTGCTCCTATTTAAAGCAATTTCTATTTAAAGTTATCTGAGATTCTGAGCTTTGTAAAAACTGGTTGAACATAAGTGAATCCAGATGCATATACAAAAGTATTATTTGGATAATTGCTAGGTCAATCTAGGTGTGCAAAAAAGTGTCGCTTGGATTGAGGTGAACCTATGCGAACATAAAACAATACTCTCAAGGAGAACTTAACTTAAGAAAATCTCCAATTTGGAGGTTATTGATGTGACGTTGGTTTGCAAACCTAGGTAACTAGGTTGTTTACATAAAAGAGTAAACAAACTGAGATGAACCAAGGATTAAAGCTGGAAGCACTAGGTTCACCTCAAAACAACAGGTATCATCACCATGTAGTAGGACAACTCAGGCCAATCAAGTAGTTGCTTAATCAAGGCATAGATTGGCATTGTTGTGACTTTTTTAAGCACCCAACTTTTTACTGTAAAAACCTTGTTTGGTAAAGTGTTGTGGCTTGGAAAAGCTTTTTGAATGTACATTGGGAGCAATTAGTATCATAAATAACTAAAGAAACTTTTTCTCATAATCACAACACAACTGGCCCTGAATTGGAACACCATATTCTTTCTTGCACCTTTTTTTATGAATAAAAATATGATGTAGTGAATGAGGATATTTGTGGGCAGGTACCCCTGCCATGACATCGAGGGGCTTGGTCGAGAAGGACTTTGAGCAGATTGGTGAATTCCTACACAGGGCTGTGACCATCACATTGAATGTCCAAAAAGAGCATGGGAAACTCTTGAAGGATTTCAACAAGGGCCTGGTTAACAACAATGAAATTGAACAGCTCAAGGCTGATGTCGAGAAGTTTTCATCCTCGTTCGACATGCCTGGCTTCAAAATGTCTGATATGAAGTACAAGGACTAAGTGAAACCTTCCTTTTTTGCTCACCACAATTTGCTATGCACTCTTCATTAAGAATTCCCATTTGTTTTGGCTTATAGTTCAATGCGTGAAAAGAATAATGGTTCGTTTTTTGTATCTTTTTCAATTGGTGATTTAGATTAGTTTTTTTATATCTGCGCTGAGCTGTAGCTGCTCAAAATTTTACAAAACTTAAAGTGAGTTTCATCTCATGGTTTTGTAAATTTCACTCATATCATTGTGTTTTACTAAGCTCTTTCACAATATCAAGTGTGTTATAAGCAATGTCGGTACCTGCTTTTTTATAAACAATGTCGGTACCTGCTTTTTTATAAACAATGTCGGTACCTGCTTTTTTATAAACAATGTCGGTTACCTACATTATGAATAGTAATGAAGGTGCAGGCAAATTTGACTTACTAAAGTAGTACGTCATTAAAAATGGCAAAGAATGTATAGCTTTTGTGAGCACAGGACTGGTTTGGAACTTTGGATCCCTTATGGGTCGTTTCCTGATCCTTTATGGAGTATTGAGTATGACACTATTGTTATATATTATACTCCATATATGTAGTGGTGGACCGGTTCCGGTTCGGGCCCGGCCGAGCCTCAGTTCATGAAAGGGGAGGCCCGGAACTGGCCCAGGTAATCTCGGGTCCGGGCCGGGCTGGACTTCGGTTCTTGTATTTTTTTTTGGCTTTTCCTAATTAACCCCCAACCCTCCCCCCTCACCCCCAAACCACCTCAAATGGCCCATCATACCCAGTCCAACCCAAAAACTTAAAAAAATTCAAAAAAAAAAAGAAAAAAATAAATTTGGCCCGGACCGGGCCTGAACCGGTCGGGCCGGTTCACGATTTAGGAGGCCCGGGCCCAGCCCATCCCACCTACCTCACCGGGCCGGGTGGCCCGAACCGGGCACCAACTGGTTCACTGGGCTGGTCTGGGCCCGCACAATAGCGGGCCGGTTGGCCCGGCCCGAGTCCACTCCTACATATATGTTGGTGTGTGAAAAATGAACAACAAGGTCGGATCGAACGGTTCTGGTCCCATATATCTGGAACTAGCATTGGTCTGGTTCCCGATTGTTGTCCTCAATATTCAGTTTTGGAAGAAATTCAGTGATTCCAATCTGGTCCAATCATGAATTCAAACTACGTCTATCTACTCCTTAATACATGTGAATCTTGGTACCTTAAGGTTAGATATTACTAGTATAAAGGAAATTCGTAATACCGGTCTAGTTTTCGGTGAAGGTTAGGGTCCTCTTTTTAGTCGGAACACAATTTGTTCTTTTAGGTCTAGGAAACAACTAGACCAGTTTCCCTTATTTTACGTGTGTCATTATACATTTTAAAAATTTATCATGGAGGTAGGCTGGTAGAGTCCTTTTATCAACAGTCCTATGTTGTAGAACTATAACATGTTTTGTTAATATCCGCTTGTGCAATACACTATAGCAGATAGCAGTTGAACATCAAATGTGAAATTAATGCTAAGTTTGAGAATGTCGGCATAATTATGCCAAGTTTAAGGACATCAAATGTGCATTTTCCTCACCTTCTCATCTGTCACTTTTACCACAGCTTCTCACACTCTTCCCATCAGCGACTGCGCAGTCTCCGGTTCCCCTTCACCGGCCTCCCACCGAGAAGCAGTCACATGGAAGATGTTTCCGAGGCACGCCTATGTCCACAGAGGTTTCATCCGCGTCCTCAAGTCCACTAGATTTGTTAGCAGGCGGTTCTTGAGGTTTGGGTTGGCTTTTCGGGTTGATCTTATCACCGACAACGCTTCCATCCGAGTCGGACGTCGATGATCCGGTTGCTTCCTCGAGTACTCATCTTTTAGCCGCTCGATCTTCTGCTCCGGGAACACGAATCGTTTTGTGACGTATGTATTTTCCTTGCACGCTTTTCCTCCGAGCCGCGGAAGATGATATCGAGGTCGACGTTCACCGGCGAGAAAATGGAGGTGGTGTCGACAACCACACTGCCTTCGCGGATCGGCGATTCTTCCCCGCGATTGAATGCGGCCAGCTGGGTATTCAGAAATCCAGCCAATCCAGCTCCATCACCAATTCCGTGCCAGAAATGATCTGTGTACATGTGAACCTTTTGTAAAGTCATTATATTATATAGGCGTGTCATGTCTTCAGAATTATGTCAAGGACAAAACATATCCGTGCGGTAAAAACCAATTACGAAATGTAAACAATGGTCAGTGATTTATGTGCACAAAAGATGTCTCCAAACAAATAACAAATACCAACTCCCGTTGTAAGGTTCGCGTAACAAAATGGCATGGTTATTTAGGAAATAATTAAATAAACTACTTTGAGTATATTTTGAGAAATAATTTTAATATGTATATATTATAATGTAGTTAGTATTGATAACTGTGATGTTATAAATGTATTATTTTTAATATTTAATAATTAATTTGTCACTTAAGATTGTTCATTGTTTCCTAGAATGGAAATTAGAACCTCTTTATATGGGACGTCAAAAAAGAAGGAAAGTGAGAATGTTCTAATGGTGTGCATCGTAATTTCGTATGTAACACAAATAGCAAATCAAACAACATAAACATTTATTTAGCGAAATCAATCAAGCCATGGACACGTGACTACTTTTTTATTCAAACCATTCAAAGAAAAATAAGATTCACATTTTATATTACATACTTATCATTACACTATGTTTTATACGGAGTATTTTTATTTGCAGCAATTTATCAATATAAATTGTGTCCTACAAATCTACCACCTTTATTGTAGAAGTGAAGTGAGGAAATTATACAAGTAAATCTGGAAATTGTATTCTGTTCTTGCTCTCTATTTCAGCTAATCTCACTGTAGTACTGCTTAAGAGAACCAGCCCATTTACTAAGTTTCGACATAAATAATGTTACTCCGTATTAATTTTGGACTTTATTATAAGGGTAATTCTAAATAAAGCCCAAAATTAATACGGAGGTGAATTTCGATTTTAACTTTCCACAGCCTCCGGTCAAAACTTAATTCCTAAATTCCGATTTTAACCTTTTGATTTAGTTTGAGAAACAGAGGTGAATTTCTAAATATAATTTCATCTTTCCTCTCTAAGCTTTCAAACTCCTGATTTCTGAAGATGGGGGCATCGAACCAGGGATAACGAAGATGGACCAGAACAAAGATAAGAGGTTGCAGAATTCAAAGGCCAGCACAAGCGAGAAGCTCTCTAATCAAATCACAGGACAGGATAAACGCTGACAATTTAAGCGGTCCTGAAGAAAGCTTAGGGGGATCAAACCGGGCTGAGGAAGAAGCTGAAGGAGTCTGCGAAAAAATTACAGCCCATTTTGTCCCGATGCGGCGGCGGCGGCATTCTCTTTGAGTGACATAGTCGGCAATATCTTTCCCCCAAAAATCCCCACAAAAAGCTGCGGTGACGGTGGCAAATTAGGCACATCACGACAGCGGCAGCGACACTATCAGAATTGTGTAAAGTGGAGAATTCATAAATTTACCAGATCATAGGCAAAATGGCCTACTAAGATCTTGAAAAATGAAGGATTTATGTAAAGCTTCTTTGATAGAAGAAAACTCATGTTTTGCGGAGTAACTTGGTCTAGTTATAATGGAGCAACGCTTTACCAATTGGGAGCTGAAGCAATTTATTTAGTTGAATTAGAGCATTGACGTTACATTATGGTGTTTGTGAATAGAAACACCCTTATTATAATTTCATTTGAACTTGATTAATCACTTTTTATTTGCGTAAACTCACATATAAGGATGTTTTTACTTGGATTGTAATCTGTCCTAGACCGGACCAAACTTGGATAGTTATAAAAATACAAAGAGATCAGACATTATCAAACCAGATCAGCAAATTACAATTCAAGTAAAAACATCCTAAAGCACATGATCAAATGGGTTGGTAAGGTTAAATCTGACGGCTATCAAAATGGGCCAATTAAAAGAACATACTTAGGGATGTTTTTAGGGTGACAATAAAAATAATAACAGGATGCAAAATCAATCAATCAATTAAGTTAAATATTGAAATAAAATACTCCGTAAGCGCACATACCAAATTCTCTTTTGTACATCCGTACATTATGACTATCGTTTCAATATACTTTTAGAACTTCCATCATTTTTTAAGAAAAAATTCAATTAGTATTCCTATTAAAATGTGATTATAATTACTACGTACTTACTAATAATTAGAGACTATAATTGTGTTCAAATGTAAATCGTAGTAATTATTTGTAAATTAATACGATATAAACTTTGAACACAATTTTCAGGACCGGCTATGGATGCCTGACACAGGCATTATCTTGTAAGCCGGTCAATATAGAATATCTTGTAAAAATTAATTTAAAATTCTACAACTCAAAATTAATAATTTCAAAATTTTAAAGTATGGCTCAGTCAAATCATGTGCATTTCACTAGGGCCCACTACAAGCTAAAGGAAAATTAGAAACTCAAGTAAAAAATTGAAGTGTTTTAATTTCTAGATATAAAAGTGAATATCTTTTCAAAATAAGTATTTTTTTATAAGAGGGGTATTTTATATTCAATTTAATTTCAAGTCGGTTAGGAAATTAAACTGAAATTTTAATTTGGTGCTTTAAAATATACTCCGTATGTAATAGGGTTTCTATTAATTTTGTGTTACAAATATATTCTTAAACTTATTCATCATAAATTATGATTCTCATATTATGCAAATTACATATATTAAATTGCTTGTTTTATAATCAGAAATAATTACATATATATGACCAAAATAAAGATGATTTACAAAAATATGACTAATGACTAGAGTAACAATGAAATCATAGTAATTCATGTTCAAGTTTTGAGCTTAAGTTACCACAACACCATATTGTAGTAATGAATAGTCATATTTATGTAAATATGACTTATTTTAGTGATATTCTTGTAAAAAAACCCTTATAATCACTTATAGTGCTGAAATGTTTTTATTCAAAAACATTTTGAAATTCCAAAATAGGAATGATCTAAATAATCAATTAAATTTAAACATTTTTATAATTGTTAGTTTCTAGGGTAAATTCTCTAAATAGTAACAAAGTTTTGAAATTCCAAAATAGGAGTAGCATGTTTTTTATTCCTCGAATATGAGTAAATTTCTGTCAAGTTTGGCATTAATAAGCTTTAAAACATGACATTTTTTTTCCAAACTTGGCAGATTACTCCTATTCAAGAAATAAAAAATATGATACTCCTATTTTGGAATTTCAAAACATTTTTACTCCTATTTAGAGTAATTTCTATAGTTTTTACTATGACACCTAAACAAAAGCAAGGCTACGGGCTAAGTTATACAAAGAGATCAAGTTAGACAAACATGTCTAATATTTTGTTATAATATTTTTTGTCCTAGAAAAACAAACTGGTTTCAAAATTATGTTATAATTTGTCATTTAAGTTTTTGATGCTATTTTTCTCGAAAATTTTAATTAATTATTGTATAAATGATTTATTTTGTGTATAACAAACGTCAATCACTTATTTCATGGTCTAATTATAAGTTTTGTCTAGGGCACCAAGTTTTCTAAAGAAGGCCCGACAATTATAGTAAGATTTTTGTCAATGACTTTTTATTAGTAATATTTAAGGAAAATCTAGAAGTCTGTGTATATGTTTCCCTCAGTGCTTATAGCGTTGAACAGGTGAGCACCATGCACCCTTTGTTATTTTTTATTTCTCCTTTTCTTAAAATTGTTAATAATTTTTTTATTTTTGATCCGATTTTTATAAAATTTATATCAAATTTTTTTATTTTTTATGATCTTTCCAATGAGACTAATATTGTCTATGTAATTTTAATTTTATACATTCATACATTTTTTTGTAGTATATTTTTATATGCATACACTTTTTCTATAATATATTTTTTTATCACTTTTATATGTTTTTAGAGGTTTTTAAGATATTGAATTTGTTTATTTTGCTTCTAGCTTGGCCGGAGTTACATTTGATAATATACGAAGTTACATCATCTTATACTCCAGTTACAAGTTATTATGTGTGAGTTACATTTTGTTATGTGTGAGTTACATCTTGCAATACACGAGTTACATACTTTTATGCGCGAGTTACATTTAATTATGTGTGAGTTACATCTTGTTATGTGTGAGTTACATCTTGTTATACACGAGTTACATACTTTTATGCGCAAGTTACATGTAATTATGTGTGAGTTATATCTAATTATTTGTGATTTTTTACTTATCTTTATCTTGAACTAATTCAATTAAAATAAGTATATTGTATTTCATATTCATACACTATTTTTCAAATGATAAAAATGAAAGATGTAGTAGGGGTTTATTTCATGGTGTAACTCACATACATTAAGATGTAACTCACGTATATTAAGATGTAACTCGTGTACAATAAGATGTAACTCGCGCAGAAGAAGATGTAACTTCATGATATATTATCAAATGTAACTTGAAAATAGTTTGTTAAAATTACATAAGCAATATTGGTCTTATTTGATAGATCATGAAAAATAAAAAAAAAATTGATATAAAATTTATAAAAATCGGATATCAAATAAAAAAGTTATTACAATTTTTAACAATAAAAGAAATAAAAAATAATGGATGTTGCGTCGTTTTGGGATCGGGCGCACCATCCTCATGGTGCGTCGATCCCAGGATATAAATTGCCTGTTTTCCTTAATTCTAATTATCGATGGATAAGTTCCCAAAAATATAGATCAGATAACATTTGAAAAGGACAAAAACTAATTAATTTACAATTCATCGTAAATGTTGAAGGCACATAGATTAATTTATTCAGATTTAGCATAATAATAATACCTCGATTAAAGTTGTATTCAAATCTCAGTATCCACCTCTCAAACACAAAAGCGATGTTATCTAATAGAGATATTTTCTTATTTTTTAGTTTTTTTGGAAAACTGAAAAAAGGAAAACAATAAGAAACAATGGCACAAATATTACTTGTGGAATTTGAAGAGACAAAAATATGACCAATTTTGATGTGGACAATAAAGTGACCATTTAAAATTAAAAAAATAAACCTATTACGTCACGTTCTATTCTGTCACAAGCTTCCCGTTCGTCATCGCTTCCCCTTCCTTCCAGCGCTTCCCCTTCCAGCTCGCAACATCCGCCACTCGACTGATGCAGTTGATGCAGTTGGATCAAGTGGCCAGATCAGCTCTAGCTCAACGGAAATATGAAGCCATATTATTACATGCTGTGTAGTTAATGAAATGACACGTGTAAAGTTGTTAAAAGTTAGTTGTGATTTGTTAGCTAGCTTTTGTAAATCCGAAATGGATATATACGCCATGTAATACTCTGTACAAAGACATATATGGAATAAACATCTTCTTCTTCCTCAATTCCCTGAACTATTCTCTGTTTGATTGATCTATACAACTCTCGTTACCTAAATTCTTCATACTAAAATAGGTGGCTTGGGCTGTATCATTGGTATCAGAGCCCTTTGTGGATCCGAATAATTCATTCACAGCTGTTGTAATTCCGTTGAAATCATTTGCAAAGATTTCGCAGAAGGTGGAGCATGGTGAATACGAGGAATGCTAATGCCGACATGGACGAAGTTATGAGAAATATGCAGATCGAGTTTGACCAGAAACTCGAAAATCAGAATAAAATCTTGATGGAAATGATGAATAAAGTCATGGCGAAAGTAGTAGAGATGCAGAAAAAGAAGAGTGTTCGTTCAGAAGAATCGGAAGATGAACATGAATCTGATAAAGATGATGAAGTATCTTCTGAGGAAGAGGATGAGTACGAACATGATAAATCTCTCATGAGCAACCAACAAACATTCAGATTCATCCCGAAAGTAGAATTTCCTACTTTTGAGGGGTAGAATGTGAAGCTTTGGATCCAGAAGTGTGAAAGATATTTTCAACTCTGTAACATTCCTGAGAAACAAAGGATCAATCTAGCTTCATTATACTTAGAAGGAAGGGCTGCCAGTTGGTTTGGCAGTTATGTATCATCTCATAAAAGGTTGAATGGGAAACAATTTATAAGAGACCTGACTGCTAGATTCAATGATAATTCCAACACTAAAACGGTGGAAAAATTTAATACATTGAAGCAAACAGGATCTCTAGAGACTTTTATAGATGAATTTGAATCCCTCAAGGCTGCAATGGTTCAGAGAAATCCTAAACTACCAGCGAGTTACTTTTTAGATTGTTTCTTAGCTGCTCTAAAGCCTACTCTCAAATCTTTTGTTAAGGCTTTTAATCCTAAGAATATAGCAGAAGCTATAGAATTTTCCAGGTTGCAAGAAGACACAGTAGAAGCCATTACTATGCAATCTAAAGCTGGTAGTTCACAGAAATTGAGCCTACACAAACCTATACTCCCTACACCTATTCCAAATGCTAAACTTCCTCTAAATAAAAACATTGCTACTCCAACACCAAGGAAGTTTGTATCTGCCAGTGAGAGGGCTGAAAAAAGAGCCAAAGGATTGTGTTACTATTGTGACCAACCTTATAGTAGGGAGCATGTTTGCAGTCACAAAGGTACACAGTTATTCCTAGTGGAGATTGAGGGAAGTACAAAAGAAGAAAAGGTTGGGCAGGAAAGTGTCAGTGAGTTTGTTATGCAAAAGGAGGAACCACTCATATCTTTTCATGCTATGAATGGTTATTTAGATTATAGAACCATGAGGCTGATAGGTTATGTGGATAAGAAGAAGGTGCTGATTTTGGTGGATTCAGGAA